AGGAAATCTCTTGGTCTGACTCGGAGATTCTGGGTAAAAACATTTGTGTTTTCAGGCAGAGAGAGAGTGTGATTTAGCTGTGCCCACCCTGGCCATACACTACTCCTTACACAAAGGGAATCTCCCGTCACTTTAATGCAGTTCATCCTATGTTCTTAGGAGGGTTTACATTGACACGTTTGTTAAAAATAATACATTCTTCACCCAAAATTGTATTATTTCTGAGCGTGTAATGGTGTATTTTAAGTACACGTTTTTCAAACATTGGGTTTACCATATTGAGAAAAGTCCATGGATGAGTTACAATTCCTGCCCAGATAGGTTAATTTATTAAGCCCTAAGCGTAATAAAAGGCTCAACATAACTGTACAAGAAATGAAGTAATTTTTTTAATGATATGTGTGAGAGCCCATATCCTACCATTTATTATACATACTACTTAAAGGTACACTATAGTCACCTAAACAACTTTAGCTTAATGAAGCAGTTTTAGTGTATAGATCATGCCTCTGAGGTTTCACTGCTCAATTCTCTGCCATTTAGGAGTTAAATCACTTTGTTTCTGTTTATGTGGCCCTTGTCACACCTCCCCTGACTGTGACTGACACAGCATGCATGAAAAAAAAAAAAACTTGTTTCACTTTCAATCAGATGTAATTTACCTTAAATAATTGTATCTCTTTCTCTGTAAATTGAGCTTTAATCACATACAGGAGGCTCTTGCAAGATCTAGCAAGCTATTAACATAGCAGGGGATAAGACAATCTAAATTAAACAGAACTTGCAATAAAGGAAGGATAAACTTTAGATGACTTTTTACAGGAAGTGTTTAGAAAGGCTATGCAAGTCACATGCAGGGATGTGTGACTAGGTTGATTTAACTACTAAATGGCAAAGAATTGAGCAGTGAGACTGCAGGGACACAATCTATACACCAAAACTGCTTCATTAAACTAAAGTTGGTTTGGTGACTATAGTGTCCCTTTAAAATTAAAACTACGGTTTTATGTGCCCCTGTGTAAAATTGAGTGATTGTGCTGGATCGTTATGTTAGTTCATCTCAGTAGATGCACAGTTGATAAGCAAATCTGTCACAACTGAAATAGGATATCATATAAAATAAAACTGAACCAGGCAAAGTATAAAAATTACTTGTAGTTTTAGTTAACTACTCAAATACGAATTCAATTTGTTTTATTTGTTGGCGTTACAAAAAGTCCATCTTGCATCACAGGCACCTTTCGAAAAGGTACAGCCAAGACATTTCATTACTATGATTTCCATCTTCAAACTAAGGCCTCGATTTAATATCTTTGGATAAACTTTAAGTGATTTAACATTTTGAAAAATATTTTAATAGTGTAATTATTTATATATATATATATTTTTATATTTTGTGATATTTTAACATTGAGAATTTTTTTTTTTTTTTTTAAAGTTTACCCACAAATAGTAAATCATTTGAAAAGCATATGAAGCAAAAATATTAAACCATTTAAAGGAGTCTTCATTGAAATCAGTGTGTTGTCATCTCTCCTTGGTTACAGAATTTCCAAGAATAGAGAAACATATTGCTGAACGCTGGGCAGAGAAAGTAGATATAAAACCGTAACATGCAAACATTAAAAATTCAAAACGGTGTGGCTGTAACCTGGTGCAGGCAGATATAACTTAAATTTATTTGAGCATCTGGTTGATCTTTGTAGATCATTTCTTAATCTTTTGTGGAAACATGTTTAAATCAATGGGCATCATGCCCCTCAATAAAGGCACAGTACAATAGTGGCTAGCATTTGCCACTTAAGGTGAAGTAATAAAAAAAATATATGTTATGCCCCCCTCCTTCTTTCCCTCCCTCTCCTCTCCCTTGCGGACTCAGGGCACGCACCTGCTCCCTGTGTCGGTAAAATTGTCCAAATCAAAAAAGTTTCTCTATGAAAAGCTTTGTCAGGGGTGCAATGTCAGAGGGGGTGCGATGTCAGAGGGGGTGCGATGTCAGAGGGGGTGCGATGTCAGAGGGGGTGCGATGTCAGAGGGGGTGCGATGTCAGAGGGGGTGCCCCTAGAGCTTTGCCCAGCAATGGATTAAGAGAAGTTAAACTTCATTTAAAAGTACACTTTGAGCATTTTAGGTAGAGGTGACCAATAGAGTAATGCCACTAGGTCATTATTCTATCTTTACCAAGTGTTGGAGAAACCCTTCAAATGAGCAGCAGTTACCAGTTGAAATATTTATATTTTGGGATTGCAGTTACTAACAGACTAGGTAATTAACTATTTTTATTTAGAATTACATTCTCAGGTAGCCATTTCTACTTTTAATGAGTATTCAAATAATTCAGATTTCATTATTAGTTCTGAAGAGGGTATGATTATTTGTTTGTAAGTTTAACATGGCATAATCCAGGGGTAGGCAACCTTTTAGTAGTATTGTGCCAAATGATCTTTGCAAGCCCCTTGGCGTGCAGGTTCTATTTTATTCCCCAATTGAGGTGTGTATGTTTCCATATTGTGCTTGTGTTATTTATGGGTGCTGCAGTTGGCTTTTAACGTTGTATTTGTGCTTATGTGTGCTGTTGTATTCTATATGTGCAGTGAGGGGAAAAAAGTATTTAATCACCTGCTGATTTTGAGCGTTTGTCCACTGACAAAGAAATGATCAGTCTAATTGTAATGGTAGGTGTATTGACCCCTGGCCTAATCAAATATAAATATATTTAGAGCAATCTTTTAGAATTTACCACAATAAAACCAGGAAAAAAATTATATTGTTTCATTAATAAAATAACCAGTCAAGTTAATTGCTAAATTGAGATAAGTAGAGTTTAGCTGATGTGACATCCTTGGTTACGGGGTTCACATTGCCATTTACCCCACTATGTTTACTGCTGACTATAGGAATAAAGCTTACAACATCTGCATCTCAGCACCTCATAGCCACATTATGGAGAACTGCTAAAAGTCCCCCCCATGGTCATTGTAAAATATTGTGTCGCCTGATATGAAGATGGGATCACTTTTTAAGAGCATCCTCAATCTCTGTTTCAGTTATTTACTTATTTAAGTATTGCAATTCTTCAATGCTACAAAACTGTTGTCTTATTTGTTTCCATCATAAAACTCCAGTTTTAATTTAATCAACCTTAGTTATTCCGTTCATGAAGCACAAGACATTGAGGTTGCATTATTTCTACATTAGATAGACAAACAATTGTGAAAGACCGCCTGGTCCACCATAAACACCAGTTGAGACTGAGTGAAGGTTGAAAATGAACTGGTTGCTGGACGCCGAAGGAGATGGCTGCCTGATCGCGGAGCTCCGTCCCGCTCAGCAGCAACAAGCGCACCCGCAGCACACTGACCTGTCAGATGGGTCGAAACAAACGGCCGGATTCCCACCCAGCAGAGGGACGGCCGCACCAACAGCAGACCCCGGGCACACTAGACGGGTATCTCCGAACCCCGGCCAGACAGACACGCGCGGCTCCGGGAACCAAGATGGCCGACGGACAGGCAGCAGCACCACAGACCCCTGAGGTACAGAGCCCCTCCCTGGCAGACATAAGAGCTGATATTAGGGCCCTCACTGCAGCCATGGTCACCAAGTCAGACCTTCAGGCTCTGTCTGCCAACCTGCATGAGGCTATCAGATCAGAAGTAGCCACCATACAGAGGGACATTGCAGCACAAGATGGCCGCATACAATCCCTTGAAGCCACGAATCAAACATCAGTGAGCAGGCTGGAGGCTACCAACACTGCATTAACAAAACAGGGCACGATGCTCCTGCAACTGAGAAGACAGACGGAAGACCTAGACAACAGGGGGCGCAGAGCAAACATACGGATACGCAATTTACCAGAGGCTCAAGGTGCAGAAGACGTTGCAGCTACCCTCACGGCTCTCTTCATGGAAATTCTGGGCCCTGACGCCCCACAGAACATCGAGTTCGATCGGGCGCATAGAGCCCTGAGACCTAAGATGGACGGCGGCCCGCCGAGAGACATAATTTGCTGTCTTCATGAGTATAAGATAAAAGAGCTCATTATGGCGAAAGCCAGAGCCAAACCAACGTGGCGGTTCGGCAGCTCAGAAATAGCACTATACCACGACCTGTCCCCACTCACGCTAGAGGCAAGAAAAGCCCTGAGACCAATTACGCAACTACTGAGAAGCCGCAATATCCCGTACAAGTGGGGTTTTCCATTCTGCCTCACAGCAAGACACAACAACGAGTGGAGATCCCTATGCTGGCCCGATGAGGTGCCACATTTCCTACGAACCATGGGGCTGCCAAACACGGAAGTAGCAGACTGGGTCCTGGGCCCCCTGGAACAGAGGAACAACCAGCCGGTGCCAAGAGCCCCGAGACGCCGCAGAGAGGACTCTCCGCAAGGCTTCCCAGCCCGCAGACACCAACCACCGGCCCACCAACAAGCACAACCCGGAGACCACTAGGCCACACGGCAGACGACTATTGACGCGCTGCAGCCCAGCCACAGCGAGGAATCTCTCGCAGACGAAGAAGATTAGACACAAGACACAATGGACGCACAGATAAGTAACCTACACAATTACACATACAACGCTATAGACTTTGACACATACCCCCATGGCGCCCACCCCACCCAGAACACTGGCTGAAGGCAACGAGGCTGGCCTAGACCCAGAACCACCCGCCATAAAGACGATAGCAAAGACATGACTACACCGCAAAGCCCGCCACCTTGGAGCTGACTCATTACCAAGGGCGGTTGCTCAGCGACCCCACATAGACAACTCTGGGAAAGACAACATGTTGGGGAGGGGGGATACGACAGTCACGTGCAGAAGGAAAGGGACTAAAGGTCTTGAGCAGGATACACTGCACCTGGATGAGGGGGAAAAACTAGAGTCCTGAGCACGACACGTGCCAATAGAAGCTTGGCACAGGATGACAGCTGATAAGTACTTTCTAAGGAACTGTGCGGGGGGACAGGGGGGAGACGGGGGCTTGAGTCATGGGTATTGGACATTACACCCGGGGGGCGGGAAGAGGGAGGGAAAAAAGGAGAAAAAGAAAAGAGAAAAGAAGGTCAAAAACCCTGAGACTCCGGGATGAGGGAGAAGGGGAGGGAGAAAGGGAGGCAATTGGGAACATGGACAAGTGGAGACATGCAATACATGCGACAACGCTTCACCTCAATGTGTATCTACATATATCCCCTCTCTCCCCCCCTTTTTTTTTTTTCTTCTCTCTCTCTCTCTTTCCTCCTAATGTGGCTACACTGGTCGCACCCCGAATAAAGTTATATGAGGAGGGATGGGGGGTGAGGGGAGGGGAGTTGATAGGGGAGAGGGGGATAGGGGGGGAAAAGTTTAACCAGAAATGTATGCAAATGTATGTACATGACTCTCTGTATACCTGAATGATGACATTACCCCGCCTTACAGTAACCCGGAGGGGATACGGAGGAGAAACGAGGTGGCGAGCTGAAAGCCCAATCTAGAAAAAAGGCTGGCTACTATACAAGATAGTAATCATAGATCCAGGAGCTTACTTAGTATAATATGTAAAAAGGAGGAGAACAAATAAATAGTATCTGTCAAAGAGTTAGCTGAGTTGGTGAATATAGCAAAAAAATGTATCTATCAAAAGGATACAATAGCTAAATAGTTAAGTCACTCACAAAGTGTCCGTTGGCTGCTTACAGTCAAATAAAAAATGAAAAAAGCTCGGTACAACAAAGCTAGTGCAAATAAGCAATATAAATATATCGCTAAAAACAACTGTAGGTATCAAAATATTATTTATTGAAGATTAAAAAATGATATAAAATAAATAGCATGTCCACAATCTAAATACCAGTCAATTTCGGGTAAAATTTGCAAGACCACCTTAGTATAAAGTATGGATCCAAATGATGTGTGTGATCCTCTTGCCCAGATCCTGATCGCCTGTGAGGACGGCGTGCGTTCCACAGTGCGTTCCACCTCGAGCCTCACTTCGGGGGAACAGCACTGTTCTTGCGGCGGTGTTGGTTATGCGTCTAGGATCCGGGATAGGTGAGTTCTTCTGCAGAGATACCCTGGCTGGATAGAGTTCGTGTGGATGTGCCTTCTTGCTGTTCTAGCTGTCTAACGCGTTTCGTAGAGGATAGCTCTACTTCATCAGATCCGTCTCTGATGAAGTAGAGCTATCCTCTACGAAACGCGTTAGACAGCTAGAACAGCTGCATCCCTGCGAACTCGCTGGCTTTCTATCCAGACTCCCGACGCGCCAACCTTTGCCGCCGTACTGTTCCCAGTAACTGCGAAATGAAACACGTAAACACGCCCATCCCTACAGCATGCAACTGATCCCGCCACCACTACTAAAGAGTGACTTTGCTATTCCGACATTTAGAGCTGACTGACGAACATACTGACACATATCATTTTATCAACAACTTATTTTGACTGCCACGGTATTTTTAGCGATATTGCTTATTTACCCAGCGCAACTTTCATTTTATTTGTTTTGTGGTATTTAAACGCTCCTTCTGACCAGATACATTTTTTTTTACTTCATGCAGCTTTCAACATTATTCTCTCCCCACAACTCCTGAATCTATAATTATATATAATGCTCAACACTATACTCTTATAGGTTTTTGGTGGATTCCTATATTTTTCCAGTTTTAGAGCTTCTGTCTGATAGGCTGACTCCCTCTTTTCTGTTTTCTAATTTATTTTAGTTTGCAGTTTGTGTTTCCTATGAAAGCCCAATCTGTTAAGGTCCCTAACATGACGCAGAGCGGAGGAGTGCACTCCCCCACACAAATCACAGACCCTGACGACACCCACGACACGGTAAGCCTTGACGGCACCACCACCACCACTCCCTCACAGCAAACTGTAAGGGGCAGAACAGTAATTGCACGCCAGCTCACAACCATGCCCGGGGGCCCTCAGAAACTCCCCTAACGGCAATACAAACGCCCCCCGAACCGGCCCCTACGGGACACGCCCCCTCGAGAAAAGACGACACCCCGACTTCCACCGTGAACAAGACGACCGACAGCTTTATAGGGAGATGACTCGTTATGCTAACTGCGCGTGATACATAGAACTAGGCCTAGGTCACGACAGACGCAACCACTACCTCACTGACATGGTTACCATAGAACTACTCATACAGTACAATACGGTGCACCCGCTTAGCTACACATATAGCGGGAACGACGTCCCACACCATATTAATAGACTTTGAACACACTACAAGGTACAGGCTACTACCTGACGTAATACCCGTGTAGAATACCATTGGGAGACTCACTGCCGACGCCCAGCCGGACGTAAATTCTGGCGGTACGGCTCTGACTATCTACCCAGTTACACGGAGCCTTCCCACATTGGGAGCTAGAATACAACCAAACGACACTTACACCAACACACACACGGCAATAAAAGGAGAAGTGGACAGCCGCGTCCGACTCTTAGACACGAAAGGGAGGCAAATACCCACACACGAACACTAGCAGCCCACGGAAGGACACACAACACACGAACACCACCCAGTCCTACTCCTACCCTACCTTACCCTCCCCGATCACCCGTGACTGTCCAGGAGGGAGCTCGCCGGGACGCGTCTGGGCCGGCCCGTGGGGGTGCGCTCGTGGAGCCATCTCGGCTCTGGGGGTGGGCACGGTGACGCTGACCCATTTGGCATCACGGGGAATACGAATGGCGTACGCGCCGTCACCCTTAGTGGTGCACTCCCAAAACTGCAGAGGACTCAACATCCCGGAACGAAGGTCACACCTCTTACGCAGTCTCAAACAACAACATGTGTCAGTGGCAATGCTCCAAGAAACGCATCTCAGACCAGAAACAAACAAACTGCTCAAGGATAAAACGTATCCAACGAACTACTACAGTAATCACCCAACGGCGCGCAAAGCTGGAACGGCAATCCTCCTGGCATCACACCTACAATTCAAACCAATAGACACGCAATCGGATGCAGGAGGCAGATTCCTCTTTGTCAAGGGCGAGATAGCAAAGAAGATCTATACCTTTGCCACGGTATACACACCCAACAGCGGCCAAGCAAGCTTCCTCAGGAGAACACTGACGAAGTTATCCCGATTCACGGAAGGTGCCCTCGTACTGGGAGGCGATCTTAATGTCCCACTGGATCCTAAGATGGACACCTCCAAGGGCCATAGCAGTGTACCAACAGCGACGCTAAAGACAGTACACAAAGCCCTCAGGGATCTGAGGCTGGTGGATACATGGAGAGCGTTTAACCCTGAGGGAAGGGACTACACGTACTACTCCACGGTCCACGACAGATACTCCAGAATCGACTATATCCTAGTACAGCAGGAGGGACTCACGTACATACAGAAGGCGGCTATCCTCTCCACGACATGGTCGGACCACAGCGCGGCTCAGGTTACTGTGGCTTCACCCCTGTTCAGACCGACTAAATCAGCCTGGCGGCTAAACGATTCCTTGTTGACTGATGCGAAGATGAGGGAAAAGATCGCAGAGCACCTAAACCAGTATTTTGAGGAGAACGACACAGAAGACGTGACTCCCATGTCGCTCTGGGAAGCTCATAAAAGCGTGATCAGAGGCCACCTTATCCGCATGGCCACCCAGCGCAAGAGGGAGGCCGGCCAGCAAACCAGGGAACTCGCACGACAAATCTCAGACCTGGAAGCGGCGCACAAACTGGACCAACAAGCACAGACCTACAGGACCCTGATGGCTACTAGAAAACAGCTGGCAGAGATCTTAGAACGCAGACATACAAGAACAATACAGCGTTCGCGCGCCTTCTTCTACACACACGCCAACAAAGGAGGTAAACTCCTAGCACAGATGCTGAGAGGCACACAGAGCAGGGCACAGGTACAAGCCATACGTACCACACACAACCGTACCACACAATTTCCGGAAGAAATTGTGAACGAATTTAAAAAGTTCTATACTAAACTCTACAATACAAACGAAGACGAAGGAGACCCCCCAGGGGCCGTGAAGCAGAGAGACACGGCAGCGTACCTGAGGAACTTCCAACCGAACGCCCTCACATCGGAAGAGGCTGAGGAACTGGAAGCTCCGATCACAGAAGGAGAAATCCGACTAGCACTGAAAGAAGCGAAAACAGGAAAAACACCGGGCCCGGACGGCTTCCCGGTGGAATACCTTAAGAAATTCGGACACACCCTCGTACCACATCTCACCAGAGCCCTGAACAGCCTGAGAGACGGCACAGCCTTCCACAAAGAAACCCTGACCGCAACAATAGCGGTAATTCCGAAGCCGGGCAAGAACACCGAACAGGTCGGAAACTACCGCCCAATCTCACTCCTCAATGCTGATGTCAAGCTGTTCTCAAAGGTCCTGACTACAAGACTACAAAGACACATGACTAGACTAATACACCCAGACCAGACGGGCTTCATACCTGGCCGAGAAGCCAGGGATAACACCCTAAGGCTTTTCGCTATACAACATCTATCAAAGAAAATGGGAACGAAGCTACTACTACTATCGACGGATGCCGAAAAAGCCTTTGACAGAGTAGATTGGCACTTCATGACGGAAACACTACGTGCGATAGGTCTTGGAAACGGCATGCTCACATGGATCACGGCACTATACAACCAACCAACTGCTAGGATTCGAGTAAATGGGGCACTCACGGATGACTTCCACATCAAGAATGGCACGAGGCAGGGCTGTCCACTATCACCCCTACTATTCGCCCTCACACTAGAGCCGCTTCTAGACAGCATTAGGAAAAATGAGGGAATACTGGGCTTCAGACACGGAACGCATGAACACAAAGTGGCCGCATACGCCGACGACATGCTATTTTTCCTCGAGAACCCGCTTACCTCCGCTGCCCAGCTAATGTTGGAATTCGAAAAATACGGACGTTTATCCGGACTCAAATTGAACCTGACGAAATGCGAAATCTTAAACGTCACCGTCCCGGAGGAAGAATGCGCTCAGTTTAAACAGCAATACCCTTTCCATTGGTGCACAAGCCGAATGAAATATCTAGGGCTATGGGTAACACGCGAGGCAAAAGACATCTACACCCAAAACCACATACCCCTCCTGAGGACCATACTCGAAGACCTTAAAAGATGGCACTACCCCCACATATCTTGGCTGGGGAGAATTGCAGTGATAAAAATGAATGTTTTACCGAGGCTACTCTACATATTTCACACAGCCCCACAGGCGATTCCGCAGACATTTTTCAAGACACTCAAAACAGCAATCACACAATATATTTGG